AAAAATATTTCCGGGTAGTTCCTCGAGTTGATTGCCTGACAAAATCCTATGGAAAACAGGGATAGCGTAAAAGAAACTAGATACCAAGTTGAAAGTTAAGTCTAGTTTCGCTATCAACCGTTTCAGGAGGATCGAGGACTAACCTGTTGCTTGCTGTTGATTACATAGCTACTTCCGATACTTGCTTCTTCCAATCAAATACGATTGCTTAAATCTGCTTTAACACTTTGCCTAAGGTAATTCCTCAGTTTTGCACTGTGCATCCTTTATTGCGCATAAAAATCACGTAATCAGAGAAATGAGCGCCCACACGGTATTGTGGGAAAAGAGGTACGATGGTCTTTAGCTCTTGAACGAGCACGGTGACCTATATATATATATATATATATTTTTTTTTTTTTTTGCATAATTTCGGTGCAAAATTTTCCACTTTAAATTGGGGAAATTAAAAAAAAATTATTCCTTACGAAAAAAAGATAAGACTAAAAGCGTGCACGAAGCCCGTTACTCGAGGATGCAAATTATAACCTTGAAAGGAACAACTCGAGGTACATGTTTAAATTTGCGTGATTTTCCCGAAATTACATATCAATTGTGCCATGCGCTGGACACTTTCTACCAATCAAGATTTTTTTACATGTGTTACTTTAAAAACCCAGTGTAGAAAAACGTACCGTTAACCGATGAAATGACGCGCGTGATTAGTACCAGTACAGGTATAAGTGGGGTAAGTTTGGCTTATCATTCAAAACAAGCATGGTGACCTATCCCTTTTATTGTAATTTCGAAAGAGACATTGGTAAGGAAAGTTTAAGGAAAGTTTAAAAAATAACTTGTATGTTCGGTTACTTTTTTTCTTTGAGGAATCACCTTAATCGACAACAAAAACCTCTGCTTTATCCTTTACAAAAATATAATTACCAACGGTATTAGTTTTTATCAGAAAGGTTGTATTTGAACTAAGCAAGTGAAAGGATGAATAAATTAATAAACAAATAAATAAGAAAGTGAGAGAGCAAAAGCTAAATGAATGAATGAACGAAGAAATAATTAAACTAAATGGTAAATTTAGGATTTTTGTTTCAAAATTTTGTGCACTAGAAACTACTTTATATTTGATTTGTTCTTTTTTAGCAGTTTTCTTCATGAATTTGTTTCTCTTGATATTTAAATTTTAAGTCTTGATGAACTTAAGGTTTCATATACATTTATTAGAACTTAGGTAGTATCTAATAACACCAGCAAATCCTTATTCTTCTTGCATGTTCTTTGTTGAAATTTATATTTTTGAACATTTGCTTTTATTATCTTTTTTTTCCCCAATCCTGGTCGCCCTGTTAATGAAAGCGCTTGCCTTGTAGCTTATTTAGAAAATTGTTGGTTGGAAAGGTGAGTGACATCAACATTATTAATTAAGATTTAGCACTTCTGAGTTTTATATTTGAAGGAGGGATGTTTAAATCATTCTCCAAAACTAAGGAATTCTTAGATGTAATTCATCACTTACAGATTTTCAAGCTTCTTTAAACCTTGGAAAAGTCCTTGGGGCAGATTTTTAATTTCGTTGTTCGACAGATCCCTGAAAGCAATCGTTTATTTCATGAATCGCAACAGAAACAGATCCTGCTTAGCCCGGGGAGTAGTGAAACCAAGTGCTCTTTGTCTAATGGGTAAGACTGATTACTTTCGAGGCC